GCCGATCAATGACTCTCTCATCACTGATGTTTCTGTCTCTCTCTATCCCTCTCCTTTCCTCTCTCTGAAATCAATAAAGATATAATGAAAAAAAAAGATATACAGGTCATTTATTTTAGATTTTATCTCATTTATGCCCCACATGGCATCACTTTGGTCAATCTCCAGTCAATCTCCTTAACTGATTGCTTCAGCGTTTTCTTTTACTTTTTCCAGAAACTTCCTATCTAGGTTTCACTCTATACTCAGGATGTGAAAACTACTGGATACAACCATACAGTTAGGTTGTTGCTGCTAAAAATTTAAGGCGTTCATTCATTCACAAATAAAATCTTTATTGAGGTCCTGTCATATGTCAGGCACTGTGCCGTGCACTGTGGGTATAGCATGGAACGAAGCTCAGGTGTCCAGATCCCCATGGAGCTTCAAGTCCATCTAGGTGTCCAATAGTGGCTGCATTTCTAGCCCACCTGTGACCCTGAGGACACATCTCTAGTGAAAGCCCACTCTTATTTTCTGCACTGGCCAATCCCAACCTTCATAACCCTTCCCCAGTCTCTTACCAAATGCTCACCCTGACCTGGTGGGTAGAGATGAGCAGCATTATTAGCAGTGATGATACTTTTGTCAGACAGATGTCACACCAGGGTAGTCACTCCTGTTTGAAACAAGATCCTTATCGGTGGTCTGGCATTTGGAAAGGACACAGGGACTGGGAAAGGAAATTCACACGAATTAGCAAGTGACCAGGGCTCCAATTCTGCCCCATAGTTGAAATACAGAGCAGGAATCAGGCACGAGGACAGGGCGCTTGGGGAGAGCGTGAAGACTGGCGCTGTTGTGGCATGTGGGAGCCCGTGGGATCGCGCAGGGGCACTGCAACCAGGACGTGGGTGGCAAGACTAATTTTAGCCCACCTCCTGGCGGGGATGAGCTGCTAATGTAAATGTGGTTAGAAGCCAGGAGGAACTGAGCCTCCAGGTCGAGAGACGAAGTGACTGTAGATATGTGAGGCTGGGCAAGGCAGAGGCCGATAAATCCCAAGCCTTTTGGAGTGGTGAGACCCCGCCATGATCTATCTCTTTCTGTGACCCATATAACTGTTGCATGGCTTATGTCTATAAAATAATTAAAGCTAATTGAAATTAATTTTGCTTGTTGAGTGTTTGAGGAGTTTCTAGAGATGCTTTGAGATGTCACAAGAAGAATGTTTGGAATAACTGAGCCAGCTGTTTAAACCAGAGACGTACAATGAAGGCTGGTAACAGAAGGACAATTCTGCAGGTCAAAGAAAGCTGAGTCAGGAGCTAGGAGTTTGGGGTTGTCGCCTGTATGCTGGTCAACTGGCTTTGTGAACACCACCACCACCACCACCTTGCTTTACAGCGTTTGACAGTTTCTATATAAATACTCCCGCCATGGTGACTTCCAGTTACCACTGGTTTCATTACTGGCTCACACACAGTTCCTGCGTATGTAATAATCAGCCCTTAGGGCCAGGGCAAGGTGACTCCCGCACACCAGTATTATCCTGATAGCTTCTGGTGGGCTTGGTGAGCTTGGGTAAGTCACTTCACTTCTCTGGATCTTAGTTTTATCATCAATAAAGTGAAGTTCCAGGGTGAGTATTCCAGTAATGTAGTCGGTGTTATGAGGCAGGACTAACATTGTGTTATAAGCCGAAAGAGTTAGGTTTTCATGAATGTTATTGCGATGCCTCAGAACACGTAATTGGATGTTTGAGTCTGTGGCATAATCAGCCATGCTCTGCCCCCTGCTGCCGATGTGTGTCCTCCAGCACCCTTCCCAGGAACATGAAAAACGTCAGTGCGGCCATTACGGAGCCAGCTTCGGGGCCCCCCAGTGGGGTAAGAAGCCATGTCCAAGGTCAGAGAAGTCTACACGCAGCGGCCAGGTCCTAGGAGCCAGCTGAGGGGCCGAGACAAAACCTTATAGCTTAGGCACATTAGTGTGTCTGATCACAAGACCCATGTGGTGGTCTTCCCTGGACTAGTAGCAACATGGGAGGTTAGTTTGCTCCAAGTTTTCTGAAGGTGAGGGCTCTGTCCTTCATATTTACATGTGTCAAATCCTGGCATTGTATAGAGACTACGTAAGTGTTTGTTGAAAGAAAGAATAAACTTTGGGGTTTTTTTTAGAGCAAATTCTGAATTTTCCCCTCTCCCAATTTATTGAGATATAATTGACATATAACACTGTGCTAGTTTAAGGTGTATAACATGATTTTCTGCATTTTAAAATATTTGATTCAAAAGTGGACATGAGCTTCTCTGTGTTTACCTTAATAATGCTGAAAAAAATGTGTTTTGCAAGTGCAAGAAATTATTTTCTTATTGCAATAGAAGGCACTTTTCAGCGCCTTCAGTCCTATATTGGGCATGTAAATTTGCCTTCTGTTCGATAACACATTTGATACACAAACAGAACCCAATGGAGAGAAACATGACTGAGGAAAACCCCAGCCAGACAGACCGGGCGTCTACAACCCACCAGTGAGTACCTCTGCTTCAACCCGTGGAAATACCTTACCTCTTTTAAAAGGAAAAGATAATGCTGATGTACAGAGCATACTTATTTATACATGTACCACTTTACCAGCGCTTAATCCTCATAGTGACCCCCGTAAGCTAAGTATCGTTATTCCCCTTTTAGAGAAGAAGAAACTGAGACTCCGAGAGGTTAGGTCAGAGAGCCACCCAGCAGCAGAGCCCGAGCCAACACCCCGAGGCGGTGCTCTGCTGGCCGGGCCAGGCTGCCCGTGGGCTTGCTGGGTTTCCTCTCCCCGGTGCCTCTGTTCCTTGTCTGCTGTGGGGTTTGGATACTTTCACATGTGAGTGAGCCTGGCCCGGCCCACGACCAGGCAAACAGAAGCCCCAGTGTCTCTGACAGGGCTCTGAGCAAATACGCCGGGTCAGGTCTGTCCCACACTCGGTGGCTGGGCTGTACTTTGCCCCGGTGAATCAGCTCCATGGAGGCCGGGCAGTGGCAAAGGTAAGCGACTGGCTGTGGATTGGAGGGCCAGGTGAGTCTTGGTAGATGTGGCACCTGGACTTTGGCAGTCTCCGCGAGGAGAGGAGACACTCTTGGGCCAGGTTCCTGGAGCTGCGCTGAAGGAAGGTGGCAAGGCGGCAGAGCAGGTGTGTGGGAACGCTGCTGGCTCCCGTATGTCCCCTCTCTTACCTGTGCTTGCTGGGCTGGCAGATTAGGAAGGCAGCATTGCCCTCCCTGGGGCCAGGGAGGGTCATTTATGTGGCCAGGCAAGTGTGACTTACCCCTGTAGATGGAACGCCTTCGTTTTGAGGATCTTAGGTGCTTTGGAGTTGATGTCCTTAACTATAACCTGAGGTCTAACTTACTGGAGTTAATATCTCTTGGCAACACAATCATGGGAGTTTGGCAAAGAGACTGGGTCCTGGAAAGGCTGCCCAGTGAAAATATCTGGAGGCAAGGTGAAAGAGACTTTCCTACTGGTGTCCAGATGGTATTGAGTTCCCTGGGCCTTCAGGAAAGACCCAAGTACCCTTTCACTGTGTCTGGGGCATTTGGCCTTTGCTGGAATTTTCTGGAAAAAGCCTACTCCCTCAAGAAAGTGGGCTAAGATGGGAAAAGGGTGCTGGTTTTCCTGAGCTGCGATTGATCCCGAGGTAGAAGGCCCTTCTGCGCCTTGCTCTTCTGGTCTGCTCTGTTTACAGCTCTCGGCTCATAGCAGTGAACACCGGCTCCATGGCATTTGAGCAGAGTGACATGTTGATTTCAACACATACCCTTTGACCCTTTGTTCCGATAAGAATTTTTATTTTAGGCTGGGAGTTTCAGGAGTGGGAACAAGTTAAGTGGATTCCGTCAGAATCTTTCAACCGAGAACAGCTCCTAACAGAGAGAAAACACAGGGTCTGACTGAGCTAATGTATTTTCCCAACACAAAGGGATCCCCAAGCAGGAGTGAGGTGTGGTGGGTGCTCTTCCTTCGGGGGCAGCTGGATGCAGGCACTCCTCTGTGATACGGGCTGAGGAGCTCGGAAGGCAGTCTGCCCTTGGAGCTGTTTCCCATTTTGAAGAATAAGTGGGGGGAAATCAGTTTGATTCTGGGGAGACTTCCAGGTTTTAAAATCTCCAGCCAAGAGGATTACCAAGACACCACTCTCTAGTTGGCCATGGAAATGATCCCAGACTTTTGTCTCGTTGGCTCTCCTGGAGGAGAGGCAGGCATGGCCATAGTATACGGCTGAGTTCTAAGAGGTGAATTTAAGGATTCAGAAAAGATGTCTCTTGAGGTCAATTTAAGTTTCTTTTTGTTTAGGAAATGGCTTCAGCTACTTTCACTATCCCAACCTTTATCTCTAACACTAACTACTATTTATTGAACAATTACTGGCAGTGAATTGGGCACTTCATAAGTTATCTCTAATTCTCACAGTAACCCTGCAAGCTAGTCATTGTGGTCCCCACTTTATGGATAAGAAAACTGAGGCTTATAAAAATTAATTAGCTAATTTGGTCCAGCTCTGTCTAAGGCCAACTCTATTTCTGTGATGGCATAGGGTCTCCATAGTAAATGTTGAATAAATATTTGCTGATGAAATAAATGCACATTTATGTAATTGGAATACTTTGATAGTGTTTGGGAGCTTCTCTATTACTCTTCTATCTCCCATGCCTCCCACATCTATTATTGCTTCAAGTAATCATATTTTTTAATTTTTAAAGCAACATCAATATGGATGTCTAGCCTGTTATTTATTTCATGTATCTGCTTGAGAGTTTTTCCCAGATGCTTCTATATCAGTGTCCTTGTGGTTTGTTTGAGATAGAAGATTTTGAAGACCGTAAGTGCTTTTCCCACAAAACCTAATCAACCATCATGTTTGGATATAAACCTAAAATAATGATAATTTTTTTGGTCTTTTTGTTTTGTCTGCAGGAAGAGAAAATAACGACACAACTGACTCAAAACAAGGAAGAAATTCAGAAGGTCAGGAATGGAGCCCTGGATTCCCCAGCGGCCGCCGCAGCCGCCGGGGAGGCCCCCAGCCCCGTCCCAGGGCCCAGACCGAGGCCTTCGGAGAGATGGGCACCATCGGCCTGTTCCTCACTCTTGGCACAACGGAGAGAGGTTCCGGCAATGGCAAGACACCCGTGGGAGCCCCCAGCCACAGCAGGACCCCAGGACAGATCACCAGCAGCCTCATTACGTGCCCAGGCCCGGGGACTGGCACCCGCCTGTGGCCGGCGTTGACTATTACGAAGCGGGTTACCCCCCTCACTTGTTGTATTCCAGGTGTGGTTCCAGGCGCGGGACTGACCGGCTCTCCTGGGTGCTTACGGACAGATTGCGCTTCTCCTACTTCCCTTTCCTTTTATTTCTCCTTTGGTTTTTCTTTTTCTTTCTCTACCCTACCCATTTCTCTTCCAAATTGGATTTTGGGGACTGCAAATAATATTCCCCCCTTCTGTATCCCCTCCCCTTAGGGGGGCTTCTTAAAGAAGCCATCAGAATGTGGTTGGGTATTAGGGGCGGGGGGAGGGTAGAAAGAATGAAAGAATTGTGAAATTCAAGAGAGCAGACAAAACCCTCTTATTCCAGCATTGCAAAGGGCAGTAAATATATGTAGATGATGGAAAGGCTTTTCCTAGGATCCCTATAAAAACTCTCTTTTCTTTGGACCCCTCTGACCCAGGGTTAGCGTGACCCCACCAAGAAGAGTCCTAGCACCTCAAACAGTACCTAGAGTGAGATAGGCATCCAGAAAAAATGTGTATTGAATGAATGAATGAATGGGAACTTTAAAAAAAATCAACCTCAGAGAAAGCAGATATATCTTGCAGATATAAGCAGATATAAGGCTCCAAGTTCCGAAGGACAGGGTCTCAGTGAGGTAATTCTAGGTTGGAGAATATAGAATTCCTGCTCCTGGGCTCTAACTGGACTCAATGTTTTACAAAATGTTGGAAGCCATCTGTGTTCACATTAGCTTTTCTAGGTGGGGTGATATTTATCCGCCTACAGATTCAGGGTTGACATTATGACCCTGATATTTTAAAGAATTATCAATCGATAAAAATACTAACAACCTGACATCTTCCCCAGTCTTTGCATGTTGTTGAATTCTCAAAGGAAGGTAAGTTAGGGACAGAGGCAATAAAAGCAATCAGGTTTCAGATAGTCCAACCTGACTTTTTCATCTCATTTCCATCTGTAATATTCGTGGGGATGACAATGGCATGTTGGATACTTACACAGTCATCTCAGGAAGGGGTTTTCTAAGATACTATCTTGCGTGGTTAGATGTAGGTACTTGGGGAGTAAGAGGGGTCATGGGGAAGGAGAGACACTTGGCTATGGCTTTGCTATAAAAATTCCAGCCTTGTTCTGAAACAAAGATCTTAACTCCTGCTCTGAGTCCAGGTTTTCTGTGTATAGGATCTAGAATTAACTGTGACTTTTATGCAGATTCTGGACTGGGGTCACAATTCTGTCCTCTGAAGTTGTTTAACTTGTGTAGCCTCCCATTGGTTTTTCTCTTTATCACTCATTCTTGAATGACTGGCCTTCTTTGTGCTGTTTTAGGCCGGGCTTTGAGGATCCGTATCAGAGGTATCACTCTCCAGCTCTAAGGGAAGACTATGCTTATGGAAGCTATTACTACCACGGGCACCCACAGCAGCAACCAGAAGAAAGAGGTACGGGATGATCTCCCAGAAGGCTTTGGGATGGTGCGGCTGGTCTGATTGACGGGGCAGAGGCCAAGGGAGCCATGCTCAGAGCCTCACCGTGGGCACCCTGCTCTGCTGAGGCAGAAAGAATTCCCACCCCTGCCTACTTCTTTCTTGGCCAGATGAAGTCAGGGTGAAGGCTCTACTGCTTGATGTCTTGAGGAGAAGAGATAGAAAGCAGTCATTTTTCTTTGTACCTGTAGATGATAGTAGTGAAATTATCAATATGATGCTAATATTATGGATAAATTGCACTTCATCCACATTTTTTTTCTACTCATTACGGCCAAGATTATAGTCTCTGACCAAGTATCAGTGACGTCATCAAGTGTGTGCCTGGGCTGCAAGGAGTCTGCTTATCATTTACCTTGAGGGTGCAGAAATGCACCAACAGGAATTTACACCCTATACGGTAGCAGGGCTTTAGGTATATGCTAATGGCTGCTAGCAAAGAGAAATCTGTTTCAACATTGAGCATGCACACGCACGCACACACACACACACACACGCACACACACACAATCCCCACCGTTGTACAGTTGTGTAGGGCCATGCTAATTGCTTCAGGGAGGACTGAGGGGCATTTCGTGGACTTTCATCATTAGCTCTCACCAATTTTATTCGGTTTTGCAAATGTGTTTTCGTACCTACTGTGTTCCAGGAACTCGGCTTCACAGCTTGGAAGTGTCTTCCTGAACTTTCAGGGACAAGAAGTGACCTTTATTTTGTTTTTCTCTGAGGGTGCAGTGCCAAGGCAAGCGAGTCCTTACATCCGGCATGAAGATTACCGGGACCAAAAGCACCTCAATGAACATCATCGTGAAAACCAGAATAGTCCTTTTGGAACAAACAGTGAGACCCAGTTCCAGTAAGTGTGAAAGGAAAGGCCAGGTCAGTGTGATTCAGCCAGACTCAGACCCTGTTAGGAAAATCTCGTTGCATCTGGTGCTGGGCCCCCCTCTCCGGAAGCCCGTCTGCTTCTGTTGTGGGGATGTGGGAGTTTTGTTCCTGGGGGTGGGGGTGCAGATGGCCCACGCCAGGGTGAACAGGAGCCCTGGGAGGAGAGGTTCTTAACTCTGAGACGTGGTTCTCAAACCTGGGCTAGTCTGAGTCCTGTCACTTGAGGTCCATCTGAAAGGAGGGCCTTGGCTCCATGTTGGCTTCAGAACAGATGTGGCCTTGCAAAAGTTCTCACGATTGGGCCCTGCCTGGGGCTGGGATGCTTTTCTTCTGCCCACTCCTGCTCCCCAAGAATGGAACATCCTTTGGGATAAGGCGAGCAGGGGACGGGAACAGCCTTTTGTACAAGCACCTGTCCTGGTGCTCTTAGGCCTGGCACCTTTACCCTGGAACCCACCAACCCAACTGCTCTGATTTAAGTCATTCCTGTATGTCAGGCAGCAGGGACCACCCTTCTCTGCAGGGCCCGGGGAAGCTCCTAGTAACCACCCCGGGGCCCAGGAGCCCCTGTGTTCCTGGTGTTAACAATTCGAGGTGGCAAATGGAAGGACAGCGCTTCTCCCTGTGGCACAGAGGCCAACCTGACACCTGTCCACACTCTGCAACAGAACAGCCTCCAGCAGAGAGCAGCTCAGCCTCGCTGGCTCGCCCAGGTCCCCCTCTCACCTGCTTCTGTCATTTTGCTGCAGATCTCAGAGTGGCAACCCTTATAAAGACAGCCCTGCTTCTAACTCTGGACAGGAGAGGCCTGGGGACCTGTTTCCAGAGAGTCTGCTAACCGGGGCCCAGAAGAATAAGGTAACCTGAAGTGATGGGGGCTGGTGGCGTGTGACAGGGCCTCGCAACTGACATTGTCAGCAGTGGCAGGGCAGGGCCCTCGGGGATGGGGTCTCCAGTGGCCAGCAGACTGAGGGATCCAATTCCTCCCTTCTTGGCAGAGCCTGCACTCATCCCTCCTCCTTTCCCTGCCTTCCTGTTTCAGTCTCAAGGGCCTGGGGTCCTGATCTGGCCCTTTTGCATTTTTGTCCAAGTGACTGAATCAGGAAATGTCACCCAAGTCACTCTGAGGTGCTGGGAAAGAGGAGAAGAGGCTGCCACCAGGACCCCAGTGGACTGGCAGTTTGGTTCACCCAGGAATTGGGAAGTTACTGGAAGCTTTTAATTCAGGTCTGAAAAGCAGAGCTTGAAACCTGCCTTGACATTTTACAAGATCCTCCCTGTCTTCTAAAAGCTTACTGTGTATGTCACCGGAGCCATGAAATGGAGCTCTTCAAGTTTTTTAAATAAACGTTTATTTTGGAAAACTCTTAGATTTCTGGAAAAGATGCAAAGGCACTGTGAGGACAAACTCTTGATTTTTGACAATCTTGTATCAGTTTTGTTTCCCTGATTGGATTTGTATGATTTTTGAGAACAGTTTCTTCTGTATACCTCATGCTTAACAGGATATGGGGCACATAGTATTATGACTAATAGTAACAATAGCACAATAACAGCAGCCACACACACATAGCACTTTACTGAGTACAAAGAGCTTTTGCATCCAGCGTTTTATTTGTATCTTCCCAGGAGGTAAGTTCCCTGAATTTCTTGTATGCGTGTATCCCCAGGGAAAGCACAGTGCCTAGAGCATAGTAGGTGCTCATTAAATAGCTGGTGAGTGAATTATGCAGGGCAGATACGAGTATCTATATTACAGATGAGGGTACCCAGCTCAGAGAGCCCAAGTCACTTGTCATTAGGTCCTAGCAGCTCAGCATTGACAAAGCTGGGATTTGAATCCAGGCCTCCTGGTTTGAATTTTATTGCTCTCAACGAACACTTTGGGCGGGGGGGCATCTCTCTGAAACAGCTTCTAATCTCTCCCGTGTGTGTTCTGTGTTCTTTGCTTCCAGCCATCACTGCCCAACGACTCCAACCTTCTCCGGCAGCATGAGTCTGGTCTCAGCTCCAGTGGCTACGAGCTCAGTCAGTACATGGCAGATGCCTCCGAGCTGTATGACCCCATGGCTTCAACAGCTTGGAGACCAGTTCAGGCTGGTGGGTATTGAGGTGATCATAGGAGTTGGTTGAGTCTGATGGGAAAGAGGCCTGGGTGGCAAGTTTCTTGGAACAACACTGTTACCCTGGTTCCAACAGTGGGTCATTGTTCACCTCATTTGCTAACATAGGTCTCCTGGACAGGGAGGCCAGCTTGGCTCCGTTTCCCACCTTTTCTTTTGTACTGGAGATTGCATCATAGCTGATTCTTGGAAGGGGACCCTGCCCCTAGTGACAGGCACTCCTAGGTTCTTTTAAGTAGTGGGTGAAGGGAGGACTGGAGTCAATTTGGCAAAGCAAAGGCAGGCCACAAAGCACAACTGCTTTGTTTGGATGTGGCTGACTTGTCAAGAGTCCTGGCCTGTCACCGTTGCCACGAGTCTGGGCCTCATGCATTGTTACCATTTGGACCAACCATCAAATCCTTGCCTTATATTGTGACATAGTCTCAGGGCATTTAATCTGCTTCTACTTCTGTAGGCCACCCAGAATCTCATCTTGGTCCCAGGTGGAATTTGAACAGAAACGTGTTTGTTTGTGGCATATTTCTAAGTAAAGAAAAGCAGTGGCAGTCATGCTAACAGTGTCTACCTGTGTCTGTTGGTCAGAGGATGTCTCTGCAGCTGGTCCCAAGGAACCCATGAAGTTCTATGTCCCCCACATGCCTGTGAGTTTTGGGCCAGGAGGGCAGTTGGTGTGTGTGTGTCCCAGCTCTCCCAGTGATGGGCAAACGGCCCTTGTTGAACTGCACAGCATGGAGGTAAACAAGGATCTCTTTCTGCGAAATGTCAGTGCCCTGCTCCCCTTTGTCTAAGCCTGAGCATCTCCAGGAATGGGAGGGGGGCACTTGTGGGGAACTAGGCCATGCACCCCCATGGGTTGGGTTGGGTACAGGAATGGCTGGGGCTCTTCTCTGAAAGAAGTGATGCTAGACTTATGTTTTCTCTGAGATGTTACTAGCTCAGTGTCAGCCACCAGAGAACTCACTTTTGTTCTGCTTTCCCCATGAGGCACTGAGCTGCACTTTGGGACCACGGCCTCGGGTTCTGATGCTGGGCACTGGGGGGGCGTTGTCTTGAAGAACAAATCTAATTTTTGTTCCAGGTTATACTTAACGATTGTGAGGAACAAGAAGCAATGAGGACTTTCTCAGGGCCCCTGATCAGGTACGTTACCCTGTGAGTACCTGAGTAAGGGCTTCTGAAACCTGCAGAGTCTTTCTGCCCAGAATAGGATTTTGGGGGGGATTTGTTCTTGGCTTCTTTGAAACAAAATGTCCATCTCCATTGGAATAGAGTTTTCTATGCTCACAGACAGAGCCAAACGTGGCCTGCACCTTTTTGACAAGCGATCCAATAGGTGAAGGGCAGAAAGAGAAATTAACATGAAGGTTTAAAAATCTGAAATCAGTTCCATTTTGCGGAGGCGACACGGTAGGAGGTCTTAGCATTCCGTGTACTTAGTAGACATTCGTGGGGAAGTGCAGTACCGTCCGGCAAGTCACAGACAAGTGGGTCATAGTGGGAAAGGCCCTTTTCTGGAGAGGGACCATGGTCAGCAGGAGCTCCTGGATGGCGTGCAAGTCTGCCCTCTACAGGACTGAGCTGGAACTGCCTTTAAACGCCTGGTCCCTTCTGATAAATTTGCATGGTGCCTTTTGTTGTGAGAGTCCTGGCTGGAGTCAGAGGGCCTGGTCCCAGCCCCAGGCATCCTACTAACTAGAGATACCGTGGCAGACAGGTCACTTAACCCTCTCTAGCCTTAGCTTTCCCTTTAAGAAATGATGTGACACTTGCTGTGCCTACTCCAGGAAGTGGCTGTGAGATGCAAGTGAGATTGATGCATGTGGAAGCCCTTTATTTAATTTATTATTATTATTTTTTAACATGAAACCAATGCATTTTATTTTATTTTATTTTATTTTTTACACATTTTTTTATTGTTCAAAATATTACAGATGTCCCTTTTTCTCCCCATTGACCCCTTCCACTCCTTCCAGCCCCCTCCTCAGTCCCTCACCACACCATTGTCCGTTTCCTTGGGTTATGCATATATGCATATAAATTCTTTGGTTAATCTCTACCCCTCCCCCCCCCCGTTCCCTCTGAGATTTGTCAGTCTGATCCGTGCTTCCATGTCACAGAATCTATTCTGTTCATGAATTTATTAAGTTCTTTAGATTCCACATATAAGTAAGATCGTGTGATGTTTGTCTTTCTCTGCCTGGCTTATTTCGCTTAGCATGATCTTCTCCAGGTCCATTCATAGTGTCCCAAATGGTGTGAGATCCTTCCTCTTTACAGCTGCATAGTATTCCATGGTGTGAATGTCCCACAGCTTTTTTATCCACTCATCTACTGATGGGCACTTGGGCTGTTTCTAGATCTTAGCTATTGGAAACTGTGCTGCTACGAACATAGGGGTGCATGTATTCTTTCTGATTAGTGTTTCAGGATTCTTAGGATACATTCCTAGGAGTGGAATCACTGGGTCAAAAGGCAGCTCCATTTTTAATTTTTTGAGGAACCTCCATACTGTTTTCCATAGTGGCTGCCCCAGTCTGCATTCCCACCAGCAGTGTACCAGGGTTCCCCTTTCTCCACACCCCCGCCAACACAGATCGTTTGTTGATTTGTTGATGGCAGCCATTCTGAAGTGATGCCTTATTGTGGTTTTAATTTGCGTCTCTGATGATTAGTGAGCATTGGAAGCCCTTTAAATAGGAACATCACTATATAAATGTATTCTTATCTTGAATCTCCTCCTGCAAGAAAATCTCCATCTAGTATTTTGACAGTTCCTTCAAGTAAAAATGACTGTATCTATCTCTAACACCCAGGTATACAGATTTGTGTAGAGTACCGAGTTGGGTATTTGGACACTAGGGTACTGGTCCCAACTGGGTGTTGATTTTATTGAGTGGTCTTAAGCAAATAGTACTGCCTGTTTACTGAGCACTTAATATATGCTATATAATTTGCTAGTTTCTTTTTTGTATGGAGGTAGATTTAAAAAATTATTTCTATCTTAGGGGAAAAAAAGGGGGCTCAGAGGAGATAAGAAAGTATGTAAACGGAGATGTTGCAACTAGATTTAAACCCAGGATTGTCTGACTCCAGTGTCTGTGCTCTTGACTACCTGTTACCCTAGGTAGTCATTTCAGGTCTCAGGGCCTCAGTCTCTTCATCTGTAAAATGGAGAGAGTGTATGGGAGACTTTCTGAAGTCCCTTCCTATTCCCCAAGGAAACAACTGTCCTATAGTTACAGACTCATTACCCCTGTCCTGGGCCTGGGTTGTTGGGCTTCATCTCAGTCCCAGCCCAGCAGAGCCCTCACACTGTGGGAGGAGCTCGGGATCCTGCGCGGGGAAGAGTCTGCCGGCTCACCCTTTGTTCCCTGAAATCTCTCCATAGGGAAGATGTCCACAAGGTGGACATCATGACATTTTGCCAGCAGAAAGCAGCTCAGAGCCGCAAATCCGAGCTGCCAGGCAGCAGAGACTCAGCTCTACTGTGGCAACTGTTGGTTCTCCTTTGCCGGCAGAATGGGGTGAGTATTACCTCTCCGCTGGGTGGGCAGGAGCAGGCTGGTTTGAAATGTAAGCCTTCCTGGGGTAAGTAAGATTCGGCTTATGGCAGAATTATAAAGTAATAGTAATGAAGCAACACGTGGCCCCCCAGATTGCTCAGATGTCAATGCCAACTGGCCAATACTGACCTTCCCCCTGCCCTTCTCCACTGGCCTGGGTTATTGTGAAGCTGTTGGGTTACTGCAGCAGCCAGATAATACGCCTCTGAGCGTGTGCGTATTTCTGGTAACTTCTGTGGCACCCGAGGTGTGAGATGCAGTAATCCTCCTGCGCCTCCTTCTTCAGCCTGGGCCACCCCCTTGAGGATGAAGAGGATTCTGTCCCCCTCAGGATGACCCCCTTTGCCTTGCAGTCCATGGTGGGCTCTGACATCGCAGAGCTGCTGATGCAGGACTGCAAGAAGCTGGAGAAGTACAAGCAGCAGCCGCCTGTGGCCAACCTCATCAACCTGACCGATGACGACTGGCCCGTGCTCAGCTCAGGGACCCGGAACCTGCTCACCGGGGAGGTGCCCCCCAGCGTGGAGACGCCCGCGCAGATCGTGGAGAAATTCACTAAGCTGCTCTACTACGGGAGGAAGAAGGCAAGTGCGCCCCCCTCAGGCTTGTTTTAGAAAAGTAACCATTGCCTGTCCCCACCGCCCAGCCCTCCTCCAGTTAGGTGAGGAATACACACTCATTTTATTGCATTTGGATTTTGACAAAGTGGAAGCTGGAGAAAGGGACAACTTAGAAATACGTGCCCGCCTCTAGTGCTTGGGGGGCGCTGGAATCCAAGCATAGTGATGTGCTCCTGTTGCTAGAGGAAGGTGGGTGAGCAACACTGAATGTGGTGGTTTGCTTTCAGGAAGCCTTGGAGTGGGCCATGAAGAACCATTTGTGGGGCCACGCTTTGTTCCTGTCCAGCAAGATGGATGCAAGGACCTATAACTGGGTCATGAGTGGGTGAGCTGGGGACTTGCAGTGGAGACCACCGCAGCAGAGAGGCCCCCCACCAGATGTGGGGCTGGCAGTGGGAGAAATGCAAGATGCATCGAGAAGCCCCACACTCCAAGCATCTTTCCAGTTTCTCTTTTCTGAGCTGGATGTAGCATTTTTCCAGATTCTTATAATCTGGACACACACACACATTCTTTATACATGCGAAGCTGCGTAAAACATTTTAGTAGTATTCCCCAGAGTCAGGATTTCCAAAAGATAAGTGGGTTTTTACATTGTGGTGAAAACCTCTCTTTGGGAGGGGCTGTTCTGGATGGTTCCACCAGTGAGGAAATAGGAACGATCACGTGAGGTTAGCTGTCAGGGCCTCAGGGCCTCAGCTAGTACACAGCTACTGCTTAGTCTTGCAGCTGAGACACGGGGTGCTGACAAGAAGGTGGGGGTAGGGGGTAGCAGGGTCGTGAGCTGTGGCAGGAAAGGGGGTTTCTGGGCCTGGGAATTGGCTCTGGGAGTCTTCATCTAGGGCAGTGGGAGATGACGAGATTTCAGGGGTACATTTAGTTAGAAGTCACATCGGCACACCAAGATCCAGGGAATGGAGGTGTGAGCACACAGCCAGGTGTGTGGAATGAGGTGGGTGAAACAGAAGAGACTCAGGATCCACTGGAGGTGGAGGTGTGGAGGGAGCCGGGGAAGGGTTTCTGAGTAAGTCCCCTAGGCTCTAGTTAGCATCCATGGCGCAGGGACAGGACAGGGCGGGGGCCCCTCCCGGGAGAAGCAGGCTTGGGTGGGACAGTGAGAAGGGTGTTACCTCGCCACGCTCACCTTCCCGTGTTGGTGCAAGCTGTGAGGCTGCCCTCAGCTTCCCTCGCGTTTAAGTCGGCCGTGCGTCCTGTTGAGCAGAGTTGGCTTAGAAGACGAACGCTCTGAGTTCAATCTGTGGCTAATGCTGTCACCCCTCCCGGGCGCCTGTTCTGCACGATGGCCTCTGTGGAGTCATTTTATTACTCTAACTAACCCTCAGCTTCCCGGGGCCTGGTACCCCCACTGTGCACCCCGTTCTGTTCAGGGACTGGAATGACGAGAGCCCCAAAGCTTTGTTAAGACACGTGCTCTGGGCCTGCGAGACAAGGGCGCTGTTAAATCGCAGACGGTGACCCGAGGGATGCTTCTCCTTTGGGTTTGGGAAACTGGTGGCCACCACCCCACATTGTAGCACGCCTCTGGCCTACGGAGTTTTGCTGTGGGCCGTTGATTTTCTATGGTGCCCCGTGAATTGTGAAGAATGCCTCCTTCTGAGTGCGCTTAAATCTCAGATCAGCTATAGAGCTTATTACATCCCCATTAAGCAGATCCCTTGGTTTGTCATCAGGACCGTGGCTGGTCTCTGTTCTGTGCCTCTTTGGTTACTGAAAATGGCTCTTTAGTGCTTTGTAAAAGCACTGCAGTCCCAGGCTAGCGGTGAGCCAGAAACCGACGCTGAGAGCTGTGGGCTTGGTGGGGAAGGGCTGCTGCGGGGGACTAGGAGTTGAGAGACTGGAAAGGAGGGTCCCGCAGGGAAGAGGTTCGGGTTAACTGCTGGGGCTCTCCAGGGCCCTTTGACATGTTGGCAGGTCACCTCTGTGATGGAGGAAGGCCTACAGAAACAGTTACTCAAGAGTTAATGTGCCCGTGCCAGAGTGCAGAAAATCTCCCCAACAATGAGATCTACCTGGGGTGTGTGGTGGAGTGAAGACTCTGCCCCCCCAAAAAGTGGGTGTGACAAAAAAAAAAACAAAGAGAAACTCTTGTTCCAAAAGAAGCTGCTAAAACCTGAAATAAATATAGACGAGGCCTGTGCCTCCCGGGCAATGGGCTGGAGGCTGTCTTGGCTGGGTCCCACTGACCGTCACTCTCTCCGCAGCTTCACCAGCACCCTGGTGTCCAACGACCCGCTGCAGACCCTCTTCCAGCTCATGTCGGGGAGGATCCCGCAAGCAGCCACGGTACAGAACTTCGACACCCCAGCATCCTAAGGGTTTAGGGGGTGGGGACAGCTCTGGAACCAGGGGATGGCTTTGAAGATTAAAAATCAAAATAATTGTTAATCACCTACCTTGTGCTAAGCACTTTGATGATGCATATTATTGCATTTAATGCACAGAGGTAGGAATTACTGTCCCTGTTTTGCAGATGTGAAAACTTAAGGTGCAGAGGTGTAGCATGAGCCACAATCACAGAGCTAGTGAGTAGTGGGGTCAGGATGGACCCAGGTCTGTCTGATTGCAAAGGCCTCGCCCGTCCACAGTTGCACAGCTGCCTGCTTTGCTGTGAGTCACAGGAGAACCCGAGACTGCTCCCCAGTCTTCCACAGGCTGCTCCCCTTCCCCTCCACTGCACTCGGACCCTCCAAAGCTGGACGTATGAGATTTTACCCATTGTCTAGAGTTGGATCCTGGCTCTGGAGGCGCCTGAGGCCAGCTGGGTGGTTTTCCCATTCTGAGAGGCTTGGTCTTTTTGCTTCAGGTGTTCCTTCCTTATCTTTGAAGCCCAGTGACGAGGGTGCATCTTGGTTGATGATCTGGGCCAGTTGTTTCTTGCTCTTTTAATGCGTGTATTCATATCTTACAGTTCAGAAAAGTTTTCTTCAATTATATCCTTCGGTGTCTGTTTCGTTCCATTATTTGGCTTTCTTTTCAGGAACCCTATACACATTTCATAGATATGTATGAAATATATATATATATACACACACACACACACACACACACACACACACGCATAATTTTCTCTTCAATTAAAATAACTTTAAAATTAGTTTTATTTATTTTGTTTTTTGCTTTTCTACTTTCCACCTTGAACTTTCCCTGACTGTGTTTCCATCAGTGTCTGTTAGCTTTTATGGTCTTTTCATGTCTGTCCTTATTTCTTTGATCCCCCCCTTCCTCCCTGAGCTCTGCAGGTCACATTTATCTCCTGTCTCCACCGTCTCTTTCCTGAGCACTTAGAACTTAGCTTTAGGCCCTTGCTTCACAGAAGTTGTTTCATTACGTTATTTTACTTAAATTCATGAGAAAATATTTGGTGACAGTTCTTTGTTTTACGATAACACTTTTCTTTCTACCTTCCATTGGCTTTTATGCTACTTCTCCCCCTTTGTCTCTGTGGCGTATTAGCGCCGACCCTGCGCTCGTTCCTTTGCGGGAGGCGAGTCTTCCCTGGCCCAGTTCCTGGCGGGGGCTTTGTGCTGGGGGGACCAGGGCTGTGTCCCGGGCCGGCTGGCGTTTCCCACATCTCCTGGCATTTCCTCTGAACGTCTGTGTGGCTGTTGCTGCTCCTGAGCCAGCAGAGGTGGCCTGGGGTCCTCTCCCCATGGTGTCCCCTCTGCTTCCTCCTGAATGAGCCTCTGTTCACTCCCCATTGCCTTTGGCAGCCTCTTCTTGTATTTTGAGGTTTGGGTTTCTGCTGACACCTAGCTTTTATGAAAATGGACCTCACACTTTTGCTTTTTTGCTTTTTTTTTTTATTGCTTATACACAACTCCACAAAAAGAAAAGGGAAATAATGACTGTTATGCCCCAGTGTCCAACCAGCTGGTCACACTGGAACGCAGAGGACGCCTCACAGTTCAGCTGAATGCCTGTGCTCTGCCGCGTGAGAGTGGGTCATGTCATAAAGCGCAGGCAATGACGCAGTGAGCGTGTGGCCCCTTGGGTCTCACAGCCATGCTAGAACTAGCCTCATGCCCCTACTTTTAGGTGAGAAAACTGAGGAGTCAGAGGTGATGTGTTGGTGCTGTATGTGATCTTAATGTTCGAGAGTTTCCAGCGTCAGAGCATCCGGTAAAAGCTAGACTTGAATTACTTGTGACGAGCGGTGTAGTGGAAAAAAAGCAGGGCCCTGGGAGGACACAGACATGGGCCTCTAGTCCACATCTAACCTAGACTCTGCCCCTTACCACTGCCGTGTGAACTCGGCCTTGCTCCTAATCTGAGAGCCTCAGTTTCTCCTGTTTGTGGGCATTTTGATGCCTAACCAATAGAGTTATTCTGAAAATTAAAAGCGAGAGAATACCTGAACACATCAACCACTAGGCTTGGCTTGTTGAAGTTAATAACTTTGCGAACTGGTTCTGTCTCTCTCTCTCTGTCTCTTTCTCTGTCTCTCTCTCTCTGTCTCTTTCTCTGTCTCTCTCTTTCTCCATAGATCTGCTTTACAGTGACTTTTAAAAATCACTTGAGGAGGAGACAGAAGAGCGACTTTAAGTTTTTGTTATTTTTAGCAAGGGCATTTCTTTTGCGGGTTTCTTTAGTTCCAGTCAGAAAGAGCCTGGCTCAGATGTTAAGATGGGGTTAACAGTAGTACCCAAAGCATGTGGTTGTTCCCAGGAGAAACGCCTAGCACAGCGTGTGGCTCTTGGTCAGAGTGCAAGAGGTGAGGGCTGCCGTTAGGACTGTGACTTCTTACTGTCATCATTCTCATTCCCACTGCACTGCCCAGGTAAACAGAGGCACACTATAAAGTGGAGTCGGATAAAGCATCTTTTGTTCCTTGGGATAATTACAAAGACCAAGTAATTATGAATTGTTTTGACCCCCACATCTTAACGATTACTGCCGATCTCCTGCTCTCCCCACTCTGTGTAACAATTGTAAGATAGACTGGTCTGCAGATCACCTCTTTTCTTTGCTGTGGGTGTATGTTTACACCTACATGTAACTTATAAAGCGCAAACCAAGCGTAGAGCACTATGCTATAAGCTTTACCTATCTTATTTTATTATCAACAATAACCCTCTTAGGTAGAAATCTTGAGCCAGGCTCAAGATCACACAGCTAGTAAGAGGCAGGACTCCAGTTGAATCAGGGCCCGTGTTATTTCTGTGGCATTATGTTGTTTCTTTATTGCTGTTTCCTGCGCTGAAACCCCCCTTCCTTCAGGAGAGGGGTGGCCCTAGGGCCAGGGGTAGGAAAAGCGCCGTCTGTCAGGCTCTCCCTACTTCCACGTCTTTGTTTATACTCTAGTGCTCCCTGGTGGAGACCTTCTGCCCCTGCACTGTCACCAGAGAGAAGGGGGCGAGCCCTCGGCTGGGGACGAATGGGCTTGAGCGCTCGCTGGGCCACTTGGCTTGGGGTTTTCATTCTCCAGGCGGAGACAGAATTAGGTTTCATAGGGCTGTTGTGAAGATTAAACAAGGTGATGTATGTGAGAGGGCTTTGTAAAACCAGACATTAGCCATTTGTAAGGTGTTAAGGAGCCCAGCGTTCCTCTGACTTCTAACAGGCTAATGTGGACTCTTCCCTCGTGAGCCCAGGATGTTTGACCTTCCTTCTCCCACTGAAACGTCAGGGTTTTATTTTTATTTTGTCCCTAGCTATTGGGATTGGGGGCACCAGGAAGAAATTTGAAAATTAGTGACTGATAGTGTCGTTTCATTTATTTTATTCCTATGTATGTGTGTGTGTATGTATGTGTGCATGTGCATGTATCTATGTGCCTGCCTTTCCATCATCCTAGGGGTTTTGCTTTTTAAAAAGAGAGCTGGAAATCAGTGAGGCAGCCTCGCAGGCAGCATCGTGGGCGCTCCCTGAACCCCTCCAAACCGGGAAATAGACACCGACCTTCTTTACCTCCGTTCCGGCTGCCGCTACGTTATTCAGTAAATCTGCACCTTTTTCTGCTGCTTTTCAGTGTTGTGGAGACAAGCAGTGGGGAGACTGGAGGCCTCACTTGGCTGTGATTCTGTCGAATCAGGGTGGGGACACGGAGCTGCACCAGCGCACGATCGTCACCATGGGGGACACGCTGGGTAAGCAGAGCCAGCATGTCCTCTTCTTCTCCTCCAGGGTAGCCCCAGGCCCAGCACCCCCTGTGCGTAGGTTCTCAGGTTCTGTACAGGGCCCCTGTCTATACTTCTGACTTGCCTTTGACCCAGGAGCCTCAGTGTTTTGGGGACAGAAACTCCAGGGAAAGGAGTGTCCTTCTTGCCTCTCTGTTTGCCAGAATTTCTGCAGCGAGACCGGGGCTCTGCTGCTGTAGGAGGCCCCTCTCAGCAGGGGGCCCCCGTCTCTGGTCAGACTCCCCTGAAGATGAGTTAGGACGTGGGGCACGATGCCTCCTGCTGCCGTTGGTCCCTCGGTGACCCAGCTCAACCAGACAGGAAGTTCTGTTTTTGCCTGAACTGCCTGGCGTAACTGTGGAGCCTTTATTTCTGTTCTCCCTCTGTGAGCGTGGCCTTATAAACACTTAAGGGCTATTGAACGTTTCGGATCAGTGGCTCTCAGACTTGGTCAAGGGGCAGAGCAAGGAGAAATCATGGTTCTCTTTGCAGAGCGCCGTGAAACATTGCTCTGTTAAACGTAAAATAGCTCTGGGTAAGGTTGTGCCAAGGCAGATGGCAGGTCACTCCGCTGCCAGGTACAGAGGGAAACTGATGTATATCGAGCCCTCCTTGAGTGCCGGGTGCCGCGCTGGGTACTTCACCTACTTGAATTAACTCAATCTTGAGGTAAAGGAAAATGTATGAGAGAACATTTTAAACCTGGGAACAATTTGGTAATTAATGTGTGTTTTTTTTTTGAGCACTGGGAAAAGCCTTCTGTTGCTTGATTTTAGCAGGGGGTGCATTAGTGCCCCAGGAAGCCTGGTTTAAAAACTGTTTCTCCCAGTGGTCCACTTCTTAGCTCAGGTGTAGGCATGTCCACTCACTTCTCACCCTCAGCAAGGACTAAAATGCTCAGAAAATCCCTAATAAAAAGTCCATTAGGGAGGACATGAAATAGTGCTGCATTCTGGCTGAAGCCAATTGAAATGTAATGTCTGAAGCCAGAAATGTGGTGGGAGAGAGCCTGAGTGGGGTTTGGGGCCTGTGAGCCTTCTCCCCCTGACCCACGAGCCCACTCTTCACCTGTCTCCCATCCCACCCATGGACGGGTCCCCACGTGGGCGTGGCCATGACCGGGGCTTGTCCTCCTGCAGCTGGGAAGGGGCTGGTGGAGGCAGCTCACTTCTGCTACCTCATGGCTCACGTGTCCTTCGGCTACTACACGGTGAAGACAGACCGCCTGGCCCTGCTGGGCAGCAGCCACAGGTATGCGATCTTCTGGGGCAACGGAAAGGGGAAGGGTGCTTTCTGGGGGGATTGATTTAACCCTTGCTGGGTTGCATGGCTCCATTTTCCATCTTCTTATGTGAATTTCAGCTACCCCTGGCTCCCTCCTCTGGGGTTGCTTTCTGCAGGGGTCTAGGCAAGGAGATGCCCAGCGGGTGCCGGATGACAGCACCAGAGCAGGTCCTTGGTAGGAACTGGCGCCCTTGGGTTGGATTGTCCACTTGTGGCCACTCGGTGGCGCCCTGGCTCCACGACCAGGGTCAGTCTCTTAGAAAATGTCAGCGTGAGCGCCTTGCGGATCTGCGTCAGGCAGCCCTGGGAAAACTGGAAAGTGGAAGAAGTTTTTGCTTAGCTCCTGCACCCCCACACTGACTTGGTGCACAAGCCACTCAAAGTTCCACTTTTCACTTGTTCTCCGTTGGCTGTAACATTAGGCTTTTCGCACAGGAGGACTTTAATAAGCCCCTAGACAGTGAATAAATGGACAAAGAGACCAGTTTGCTCCCCAGCGGTCCTCCCCGTTCTGGACCTCTTCTTCCCTGTCCCTGTAATAATTAAGATTTCCTGAGCTCTTACGTTGTGCCAGTCATTTTATCTGCACTATTTCCTTCCATCATGACAAATTGACCCTATGAAGAAACTGTTATTCTTCATCTTCGCTTTATACAGGAGGGAAACCAAGGCACAGAGAGGGTAAGCCACTTGTTTAAGATAGCACAGCTGGTGTGGGGTCAAGTTGGACTTAACGCTGCGCCAAACTGCCTACAACTGTAGAAACACGTCCCACTGCCTGCTCTCTCAGGGCCCGGGTCTCTGATAGCACGTGGTTAGCTTGTTGGAGAAGCCTGTCTGTGCCAAATGTGACAATAAGAGTGTGCAGGTGAATAGGTCTCCCTGCTCTGAGGAAATGTCTGGAGATAGAGTCATAACCCCAGGGATGGCCCTGGAGACTGTGGCAAGCTGCCGAGGGAGAGATTTGGGGCTTGAGGGACTCTGATGGCCTTTCAGGTCACAGTCGCCCAGTCTGCTTCCTCACTGGCTGAGTGAGCATCCAGCATAGGGACCTCATTGGGTTTTGGCTCAGCAGTCCTCCCCATTCCCTGCCATGTGGCTCTGCTCAGTGCTCCTGGAGTGTCACACGGCTCAGGCTGGGAGTGGCCTGTGACAGGTGCACATCCTAGGCTTTCAGGGGACTCAGGTGAGCTCTCAGCATGTTTCAGTTCAGAGGAGGGCCCAGTGCCCAGCCCATCTGGGAGGGAGAGCATCCTGCCTTAAGGACCCTCCAGCAAAGAGAGCAGGGGACCCCCTCCCGCAGTCTGCACTCTGCCCCCTTCCCGAGGGCTGGTGCAGGGCTGTGCTCTGTTCCTTCCCATGGAACAGAGGTGGAGCAGAGGAGAAGCCTTCACTCTGGACGCCCGGATCTCAGTCCTCTCCAGGACAGAAACTCTGCCATGGATGGGTGCAGCTGGTGTTGACTGTCTACTAGGATTGAAATTCCTCCTACGCCCCCACCTCAATCTCTTTTATTGTTATTCCCTGGTTTTAGTCAAGAGTTTTTGAAATTTGCAACCACTGAGGCTATCCAGAGGACGGAAATCTTCGAGTACTGTCAGATGCTGGGCCGCCCCCAGCCCTTCATCCCTTCTTTCCAGGTAACTGCCCCACCCGAGGCCAGCACCTGAGCTGTGTCAGCGGCTGTGGGCAGCTGGACTTTCAGCTCTGCTCTTTGGCACATACTAGCTGGGTTAAGTCACCTGCCAACTTTTCCTCATTAGTGTGAGCATCGGAAGGGTTAGGATTTCTTTCTAGGTCCCCCTAACACCTGCATTTTAAGATATGAAAGCAAAACGCTGCAGTGGCCTCTGCTGGAGGCTCCTGCCTGACTCCTGACAGATGAAAACCCTGCCTGGGGTCCTGGCTGTGCAGCTCCCTCTTTCCCTTGTCCTGAGCCCCACAGCCACCCTGCAGGGGGGTGGGTGTGAGGCCCCACCCAGCCAGCTGCTTACCCAGCTCCCTCTTCTGCTGACCCGCTTCTCTGGCCTCTCCTGGACTCCTCAGTGCTCTAACTCTGGACATTCCTCCCTGCTCAGTCCTTGGCCCCCACCCTTCTTTCTTCTCCCAGGGCTTCAGCTGAGTGGGTGGCCTTGTCCTTCACAGGTTCTAACTCTCTTCTCGACTTCTCTGCTTGACGCCCTGTTGTCACTTTCAATTCATAAAAGACTCCTTCAGTGCTTGCTGGAGTGACACAGCCGCAGTGACACTCATGCACAAACATACACACATACACCCCCCTCCCCCCACAACACAAAACAGACAAAACCTGGAAAATGAATGAATTACTGTACACGGGAAAACAACCCTAGACTCACCTGACCGGCTCCTTGGGGTGCAGGCCTTTAGTCAGTCTCTCTCTCTCCCCCCCCCCC